AATAAATGACCTCTGGGTTATATCTCAATATACTCTGCCTGAAAACTAGTGCTTCTTTCCGGCTTAAGTATTAAATCTTATTTTTAATACATGAAATGGTAAATAGCCTTGGCAAAGGTTAAATTAGTTCAGTGGTTGATAATGGTACTAAAGTAAGTCTTAACACAGGGTGTAGTTCAGTTATGGGTATAAAGGGCTCACCATCTGTCCTGCCTATTTAAACACAATTGCACTTCCAAACCCAGTTTGGTCAATAGCTGGTAGAGAGTTAATATCCCCTATTCCAATCTCTATGGTAACAACCATAGAGATAGAAGAAAATGTGGAAATCATAAACCACTAGTAGAGTTCTGTCCCTTTTACTCCTTACTCTACAATACAGTTACTAAAGGAAAACAGAAATTGAGCCACTTTTTGAGATACCAAAAACGGTCTGGGGCATCTCTCAGCATTCTGCTATCACTGTGATTTATCTCCCAAACTGTAGATCATTCTGTGCACCATTATTTTAAGCTGTCACTTACCTAAATGAGTAAGAAGCCAATACCAGCGCTCAACAACTGTATTCTTACACACACAACCCTCTGCTACCAATATTCCATCCTTTATCTATAGCTGTAAAAATAGGAAACTCCCTGGTTTTAAGATATATCCTTAACAAAACCATCCATACAAGAGTTGTTACCTAATGAACAGTGCTACAGTAAGATTAAAGATCTGATTAAGGCAGTGAGTTAGAAAGAGAATTGGTTCATCTATAGATTCAGTCACCTTTTCATAAAATAGTTAAATAAAATTATCCGTTCTTCTCAGGATAATTATGAGCAGTACTAAAACTTCATAAATGTTTTGAAGCTTGGATTTCAAAATTTCCCAGAAATTGGGAGACTAGAGAAGCAAATGAACAACTTCCATCAGCTCTCTTAAAAGGAATAAATCGAACAGCATAAAGACAAACAAATTAGTACAAGCTAAAGCATTTCCAGATCCCTCACTTCTGCATTCATTCCAGCAGTATTTCATTTAAATGCAGGCAAAGTTTAAGCTTCAATCTTTAAACAATTCCACATATCTGAACTTCACTCCTCTAAGTGACACAACTGCATCTGCAGCTGCAACTATGCATGTGGACAAATTTAAGCACATGCACAAGAGTAAGGTTAAAGCAAGTAATAAAGAAATTAGCTAATGAATTCAATGTACCACTAACAATTATTTTTGAAAAGCCAAGCACTGCTAAGAAGATAGCAAAGCTTGAGAAACCAATGGCTGAAATTCTGCAGGGAGGTGATTAGGTTATGGTCCCAGCAATTACCCTACAGAAATCTAACTTCAGTTCTAGAAAGAAAAAGATATAGAGCATCCCCTCAGTAACTTCATGGTTACAACCACCACATGATTTTCTCACCATTTGATGAGTCCTCTTCAGTTCAAGGCTGAAGTTCATGGGTGCTGTGGAGAAGATCACTTGGCAACTGCTCTGCTGTAATTAAACCAAGAATAAACAATGGGCTTCAGTTTTTACAGATAACAAGCCAGCACTTTTCACAACCATCAAATCCACAAAAGTATTAAAACATTCAGAAATTAGTTAGGCCATTTTAGCAAAACTTTACCAGGAAGCCTGAGTTCAATAACAAATCTTCCTGAAATTCTCAGGGATGTGTTCATTATTATGAGTCAGGCCTATAGCTATGTTAGTCAACAGTGTAAGATCTGAATGAAATACAGTAAACCCAGCCTTGCAACACCGTTAGTCTCTTCGCTATGTTGAGCATTTTTTAAGGGTTTTTTTTGGCTTTCTTTTTTTTTTTTAAGCTGGAAGTTTATAGGAAAATCTAATTAAGCAGATGCGAGTCCTAAGACAGCACATACTTCTTGCAGCCCTAACTGCCTGGAGAAGCATCCCTAAACCAAGTCTACACTGGCAAGTTCAGAACTCTGTTTTCACTGTAAAATACTAAACGCTGTCCACTTCAGTCTTTTCTAGATTACAGCCTCTGGCTATAGAAGGAAGTAGAAAACTCATACATGAAAGAGGATGCTCAACTACAGCTACCAGGTTATTAAGCTGAAATTTTAAACTTCAACTGGTATCAAATTTACACAATAGGTCTGGAGGGAGGCTTAGATGAATCCAGAAGAGGAATCTAGAAGGCTGGAGAAGCATCAGGGGCAAGGCAGGGCCCAAATTAGAAAAACAGAAAAAAAATACAGGATTTCTATTGGCTGTACGTTCATATGCCATACAAACACAGAATACTAAAATAATATGTAGATGTGCAATTATTGAGAAGATTATTATAAATACTACATGTGTGTATATGTTGGTGCCCTCTATCTGGTCTAACTTACCTAGGAACTGGACCAGGTGAAGGTAATGGAGTAACACGCAAGTACTCAGGCAAGCCAAAGAACCTAACTAAAAAGTTACGTGGTAATGACACAATGCCAGATTTCATTTCAACAAATTCCTCTAATCCTTACAGCTGTAAAAGAAATCTTAGAAATACATAGCAAGGTAATTTGTAAAGTAATGTGTGCCTGAGTCTGAAGACAGCCCCCAGCTTTGTAACCATTCCTGACTAGCTATGAGCTTCTGTGCCATTTTGGCATGTAAGTACTTTGCTTTGGGTTTGCCACCTCTCAACTGGACCTCAGCTTTGGGCAACTTGGTATATCCAAGCACAAAGTCCGCTGCATATAGGAAATTCCAAATACAGGAAGCTGGGGGGGGGGGCATCTTACCAACATGGGCTATTCTAAGTCCTTCTCTTCCACTCTATACTGATTTTATCTAAAATTTTAAATTATAAATTCAGAGTCTCAAGATCCTCCAGGGCCTAAATCCAAGATTTCCAGAGAAATGTCTTACTTGGTCTCTAGACTGGATCCAGTTACAAAGGAGAAAAAGATATCATTTCCAGAGACAGAACTTTCTCAGGGCTGGTACAAGTCTATGAAGTAAATGTGCCTAGGAGCAAAGGGCCATCAGAAACCTAACTGCATTTTGCTTGAAGAACAGAACACATTACACTGACCTTGCCTCACTACCATAAATACAGACCACGTATATGGAAGGAAAGACAGATAAAATAAATGGAATACATTCAGCTGCACATGCTCTTTCCCCTGGTAACAAGAGAACAGCTAATATAACAAATGCTGGTCATGTCACTTATTACGGTACGAGGCGGTTCTCTGACAATATAATGACACACTCTGGGGAGGAGAATCTCTAACAGAGGACAGGCACTACTAGAAGGTGTTCAGGTAGTGCTGTAATGAGAACTGTATGAGGAAAGGAGTCCATTATAGGAACTGCAGCTTAACTTCATATTTGCTATGACAGCAGATAAGACTTTTATCATTCTGATGAGCCCAAGTTGCTTGGAATGGAAATTCAAGCTAAAGAATTGACATCACTTTAGGTGAGGCCCAAAACCCCTTTCTCTCCCTTCTGTCCTCAGCTATGTTCCTGCTGTGACTTTCTGGCTTCACTAGTCATTGAGGGAACAAAATAATGATTCCTCTCCAAGATGCTATAATGAAACCTCATGGACTTTTAGACTGTAGCAATTGCCTTTCTCACTTGTTCTGATACTCAATATTTACCCATTCTGATCCTTAAATTATTATAATTGCACATTATTTAAGAAATATGAATGGAAGATGTAAATCAAGAGTACTACATCAGGTTGTTGTTTCACAGTCCTAAGTAATACTGAGAATAATGATTGTGTAGTATCACTATTGGTTTCTTAAGTCTGAAATGCAAGACCATAGTAATGAAGAAAACTACTCAGTGTGCTTACACACAATATACATTTCAGTCTGTACAGGATGGAGGCCTACGTGCATTAACTATGGAATCTGAGAGCAGGTATTTCCTATTAGGGGATGTAAAAATTTCACTTTCAGTAAAAATCTCAATGAAACCTTAGGAATGACATCTGAAAGGACAATAGTGTGATTCATGTATGTCTTGCTAAACAGAACTACGTATCTTCTATACCTTATTCTTACATTACTGTTGGGAAAATGTGTGAAAAATAGTAACTGGAATTATTTTAGGGAAAAACTATACATAACCTAAGTACAGAGAACTGGTATCAGCAACATCATAACTTTGTATTTTTCTTTACTTTTTTCATTGCTATCTCTATTGCAAAATGCTCTTTTCAAAGCCACATAACCTTCAGAAAAAAAAAAAACATAAAAAAATTAGAAAACATTTACTATCATTCCTTTCAGTTGGAAGGCACACTTTTTGAAAATTTCACTCATAGTAATTTTAATAAAATCAGAGTAAAATGTAAATACACTGCAAATCATTTATATTTCCTCCTTTTTAATAGACAGGTTTTATGAACTGAAGCATTGGGTTTTTCATTTGGCTGATTTTCACTATGGAACTTGGTTAAAAAAAAAAATGAGGAATCAGTTTCTTTAGCAATACCAAACTTTGAACCTGAGGAAAAAAGAGTAACATAAATGCATAGTACTAGCTATTTGATTACTTACAAGTCGCCTTATACTACTTTTTCTGTAAGGAGCTCCAGAATTACGTATTTTCTGAGTAGCTGTAGTGTTCGTAGCCATGATGGTCTCAGCTTTTTGAGCCCCAAAGCCTGCTGTTTTCAACTGTTTCAGTCAAAAAAAAAAAAAAAAAAACCAAAAAAAACCAAACAACAAAACAAAGAAATTACCTCTCCCTTCAAAACTTGTTCTTACATTTTTGTCAGTGATCTATAGAAGAGAGCAGTGGAATCAGGAGAACCATTAGGCCCTAAGCCTGCTAACATTCGTCTGCATGTAGTCCAACTGAGTTTAAGAGGACTAGCTCGCAGACGTTAAGGGAGGATTTTGAAAGTCAGTGGGAACAGAGCTCCCAAACTCTCATTATGTACTTATGAAAATCTTCCCCAAAGTCATGGGAACAGCAGCCTGCAGGTCTGAGGCCTCTGCCTTCTGCTGCTTTCCTTTTCCCTTTCTAAAAGCCTATCAGATTAAAAAACATGAGACCCGCTGAAGCCAGCCCCGCTGGGGAGCCGGTCGCAGTGATGCGCTGGGTCTTTGCCGAGGCAGGGGTCCGCATAGCCCGCGGAGAGCTCACAGGAACGACTCCTCCAGCAGCCCAAAGTCAAGTGCAAGCAGCGGCTCCGGCGGCACTGCAGCCTGCCTTCCCCCGCGGCTTCCAGCGCCTCGCAACCTCCATGTCGGCTCCCCCATCTGTGAAACGGGGATAGGAGCACGAACCCAACCCTCAGGTACCTTATCACCAGCCACAACTTGGGGCGGACGGGCTGGGGGGGGAGAGGACGCGGCATGAAAATGAAAGTTCACGTTTCCCCCCGGAGCACTGCGAGCGGCCGAGGCGGGAGCCCTCTCACAGTTGAACCTCGGCTCCGCCAAGTTCCTCTGAGAGTTATTTATTTTCAAATGACCAGCATACGGCACTCCGGGCCCTATCTGACCCGAGATGCGCCCGCACCGCTCCGCTCCGCACCGCACCGCCGGAGCCTGTTCCCAAGCCCGGGCGGGACGGGGAGGGAGCCGGGCGTTAGGGCTGGGGTGGGGGGGGGTCGGCCGGTTGTCGGGGCCACTGCCGCGGAGCCGGTGCTTTGGAGCGCGTGAGGCGGGAGGGGGAGCGGCGGCTGGTTCCAGGGCGGGATCGGGCCCCCGCGGTGCGGGCAGCGCTGAGCGTTGCGACCGCTCTGGCGGGGTGCGCGGATGGAGGGGGGGGGCGGGTGTGCTGGAACCTGAGCGCTGCGGGGGTCCTCTGCGGCGCGGGCGGGTGCGGGGAGGGGGGGGGGAGGCGCTCTTCATATTTTCCTCAGGTCCTGTGGCGCACGTCCCCCTCCCCCCGCCGGCTTCCTCTCCCCACCTTCCCAAAACGGGCTGCCCCCCCCCCGCTCCCCCTCCCGGCGCCTTTACCTTGACAAGTCCGCGAAGCTGGCGGAGGTCTCGCTGCCCCTCTGTCTCTCCCTCACGCATCCCTATCGCGCCACCTCTCCCCCCGGAGCCGGGACTCCGGGTGACATTTCCCTCTCCTCCTCCTCCCTCCTCCTCCTTCTCTCTTCCCCCCCCCCCCCCCCCCCCCCATTAGTGGCGGTTGGGTTGGGAGCGCGGGAGCGCGCGCTAGCGGGGAGGGCGGGGAGCGCGCGCTGCCTGCGAGCGGAGGGGAAGGGGGGGGGGGGGGGGGGGGGGCTAAAGGGGGGAGGGGGAGGGGCGGCATTGACAGCGAGCGCCGCGTCCGTAGCTCTGCCTCAGCCCGAGTAGCTCTCCCCCCGCGCGCCCCCCCTCCCTTCCCGGCATGCCCCAGGGCAGCGGGGCTGGCGCTAACGAATTTGAATGAAGAGCCCTGCTCTTTCGGCGCCATTTTCGAGTGATGCCCGATCGCATCGCTGCCGCGGGGGAGACGCCGATCGCGGGGCCGACCGCTGCTGTCGCCGAAAGTCACCTCCCTCACTCGCCGTTCCCCCTCCTCTTCTCCCCCTCGCCGCCACCATCACCGTGCGTTGGAGTGAGTGCCGCCACCGGCATGGGCGGTAAGAGCCAGAGGGACCGGGCGCGGCTGGGGCAGAGGGAACTGGGCGGGCAGGCGGGGGAAGCCTGTCTTCGGTAAACGGGGGTAACCTGCACCCCGCCGCTGCTGAAAAAAGTCGCTTCAGGATCCCGGTGGGCAGAGGGCGGGAGGCTCCCGGAGGTGGTGGCAGGTTTCGCCGGTGGCTCCTGAGCGGATCTGTCACTCGTTTCCCTCAGCCTCAGAGGGTGGGAGCGGGCGGGAGCAGCTGCCTCCTCCGGCAGGTAACGCTGCCGCCCGGGGCGGCGACGGGCAGCATCTCTCCGGTGGGGATCACGGGAGCGCCGCTCATTCTCCGGCGGCCCGATGAGGAGGCGGGAGGGGGGAGCCCGGGGCGGGCGGGAGGTGCGGCACAGCCGGAGCGGAGGGTCGCGCCGTGGACCCGGTGTGCTCCCCGCTCCTTCATGACATGACAGGCTTCCCTCTGATCCCCCCCTCTCCTTGCCACCCCCACCCCCCGCGGATCCCTCCCTCCCGCCTTCTCCCCCGCCTCTCCGCCTTGGAAATTTCGGGGCAGCGCTCGGGACACGGCGGCTCCTGCTTCCCGGCTCTGCAAGCAGCAGCCAGGATGACTTCCCCACTTACATGCACATCTCCCTTTCTCGCACGCCTCCTCCTCCCCCCGCCCCCCCCCCCCCCCCCCCCCCGCCTCCTCCTTTCTCTCTCCCCGTGTTTTCGTAATCCGGATTAATGCTCCTTCTCTCTTTCCCTTCGGTTCCCCCCTTCCCCCCAAAATAAGAAGACAACCTTCGCTTTTTTCCTCCGTTTGTTTCCTATCCATGTTAGCAGATTAACTTCTCCGTTTAAGCGCTTTCTCCACCTCCCACTCAAGCGCTTAATTTCCCGTGTCACGATATCGGAGCCGCCTTTAGCAGAAACCTGGGTGACGGTTATGCTGCCACATGCTATCACATTTATCATCTCTGTCCCTTTGGGTATTAACGAAGGACCAAAGTGCTGTTCATCGAGGATTGCATAGGGCTATTTTTCCCCACTCTTAACGTGAAAACGCGAGTTTCCTTCCTGAACTAGAGGGGGGGAAACATAATCCGAGGCCATTTGAATCGTGCCAGCTATTTGTAGGTGTTTTTCCTATCCTCCTACACACCCCAAAAACGAGTAAATACCCTCCCCATAGATAGCCCAGCCTAATACTGTGATCAGAGCTGGCCATTCACCTCCTCTTCTCCGCCTACAAAATTCTCTGTCTCTGTCACCCGGGTCGCTATTTGTCATTGGCTTAGCTATTTTTTGGTGGCTGTTTCTATGTCATTTCTCGGTGGCCAGCAGCTCTCGGGTTTTCATTGCTGGATAAGCGCGATCGTTCTTATTGTGATAGGCGCCGAATCCACTCCCTCTTCCCCTCTCGCAGTCGATCTGGGGAGCTATTCCTTCGCCACACACACATAATATGTGACACGGTGCCTTTTCCTCCACGATGCCGTTTAACCCTCTCGGGGCCGGGGTTGACGTGGGCACTCGCGTTTCGGACTTGCATACACATACACGCGGAGAGACACATAACAAGACATATTTTTGTTGCTGCAGCTCCTCGGTGTGAGCGCGGGCAGGGATAACGCCGTGCAGCGGGGTAGGGAGCTCCGCAGCCGCTCGGGCGCTGGCAGGCCAACGTGCTCCTTCCCAGCTACAATTTCTAGCGTTACTTTTTATTCCTCTTCCTACTTCTCTCTTCGCTTTCGGCCGCCGTACCGTTTTGGGTTTTTTTTGGGTTTTTTTTTTTTTTTCGTGGTTGGTTGGTTTGGTTTTTTTTGATTGTTATTTATTTTATCCGGAGGCAGGAAGGCGTATGGATATATTTCCCGATGCCGTGCGATCGGCGGGCGCTCTAGGCTGCCGTCGAGCTGGTGGGCGCGCAGGATGCGCAGCGAACGCAGCATCGGGCCCCTTTGAAGGCGCTCTTTGAGCGGAGCCCGGACCGGTTGCTGCCCCCCCTGGTTGTCTGCGGGGTCGCGGGGCTGGGGCTAGGAGGTTGGACGGGGTCACAGCCTTTCCCCTCTCCTCTCCCCGTTCCTCCTTCACCACCACCCCCCCACCCTCCAGCCCCCATCCCTCCGCGGCGTTCAAAGCCAAAACCGGCCGCCTCAGGCTTAGCACCGTCGCCACCGAAAATAACGAGTTAAACGAAGAACGTAGGAGGGACGTAGAGAAGACTTGGGGTGCAGAAGTGCTGTACAAAAGATTTCTGTGTACATGGCTGAGAGCGTGTAGTCTTAAAGTGAAATGCAAAACTTAACGTTTCCAGCATGACAACTGGATTGTGATTCAAGGTATTTTCTGTGTGATGCAGAAATACACTAATTCAAAGAGGTTTTTCTGTCTCAAATCCTTAGTTTCCTTGGATTCTTTTAATCCAGTACACAAATTACATTTTTCAGTCCTTTTTTCCCTGGGAATAGCTGCTTCGTTTGTCTCTGCGATTTATACCTTTATGCCCTGAAAGCTAGAAAATTCAGTTTAATCTTGAAATAGTGATACTAGTGAGATCCTATTGAAATTTAGCACTTATTTCTTTAGATTTGCATCGGCACTTTCCAAGTGGTTTGAGAAACATTTTTAACAGTTAGTATGGGAATGTGCACAGAGCTGTTTCATTGTAGCTGTGTATACTTCCAAATATCAGGATTTGAAGAGATTTACACTATTCAGCCTGGAAGTGCACTCCCAGGCACGGACTTTCACTTTCAAAGAAATAACTGTCCTGACTCATAGCTAGTTTATGAAAAAACATCTGTAATTCAGTGTTGTACAGGTGCGTGTACATTTTTCCCTACTATTTGACAGTTGTGTTCAATAGCATGAATTTTATAACCTTTTTTATTTTAATTAAAATCTGTGCTTAGCACATATTTGACTATATAAACCAACTGTTCTTTTCAGGTTTTTTATTTCTCAGCTCCTCCATTCCCATATTTTACAATTACATAAAGGTGGGTGTGGCTAAAATGAAAGCAGTAAGCAATCTAATATCAATATGCGTGTCTGTTAAGTAGGTTTTCCTTTCTTATACTTGATGTACGCCTTATTTTGAGATATTTTTGGGGAAAAGAGTCATGTAGCTTAAATAGACCCTCGTAGAACTGCTTGCATTTTTCACCTTAGTTAAAATGTCAAACATTAACTGGATTACTTGGCCCTGGAAAAGTTATATTCAGAGGAAATACCAAATGAACTTAAAGATCTAAACATATATATTTATAAGCAAAAGTTCAAGTTTTATGCTTAATAGAATATTGCTTAGGTATGCTGTGTAGCATACATGGTGTGTGTATTCCCCCCCCGCCAGTCTAATCCTTTATCTTGATTTTTAGGAAAACCATCCAAATAAGCTTCAGGGTTTTTTTTGGGGGGGGGGGAGTTTTGTTTATTTATTTTTCCTTTCTTTTTTTAGCCCATAAGTTGTACCGAAAGTTTCAAAGAGATACCCTTTAATTTTCCAGATATGTATCTATTAAAGCTTGAAGTAACTGAGATTGTTATTTTTTTTTTTAATTTATTTTCAGCAATAACAGTAATTTGAAAGTGTGACTCTACAGCTATGCAACTTTTTCATGTGTTAGGGTGGTTTTACATAGCAAGCTTATTGTAGTAACGTTTTAAAGGTAGACTGTATATACAATAACAAGGTGTCATGGGGGGGTTCTGTTTTTTTGGTTGATTTTTTTTTTTTTTTAATTTTTTTTTTCTTAGCTCCTGGAATTCTGAACTTCTTACGGTTCCATCCAAAATCTAATGTCATGGAAGGAATTTTGCTGCTAAATGGTAGTCTTTATTTCCTTAATTATCCTGATGACTAATAAGTCAGATTCTGTAGTGAAGTACAAGTGGAACTGCATACACACTACCTGCCTGTGTACACCCTGCCTTTGAACTCTAGGAAAGGTGCACATCTCATCCATCTTGAATGTCAGAAGCTATCCTAACAGGTGTATCAAAGCTTTTCTGTAACACTTCTATGTATGTACAAGCACATGACCTTTCTTCACATAAAAAGTAGCCTCGTAACAGTTATCATTTCTTTTATAGGACATTACACGGTTTTGATATTTGTATTGGGAAGCAATTAACTACTGAATATATAAGGGAGGACCGAGAGGCTTGTCACTATATTCTACAAATATGCTGCAGGCATTCATTCTGTTTTGTAAATGCAGTTATCCACCCACACCCAAAGGCCCATTGCAAGTCATTTCAGTAATTTACATTCATTACTAACTGTGGAAGGTAGTGCACATCTTGGGCTAGTTCTGACTGTGGAAGAAATAGGGAATGAAACTGTAGACTTCTGTATATAAACAGAAAAATATCTTTATGATGAAGTTTTTAAAACTAAAAATAACTTTATGTAACCCAATAAGTTTTCTCCACAGATAATTTTATATCTATATATATTATTACAAATTCTAAGCATCTTAACACTGGAACCTGATTTCAAAAATTAGGATCTTTCCTACTATCAGTAGTACTTGGGCTGCCTCTTCAAACAACATTTTCCAAATTACTCTGGTACATAGTCCCCTGTGACTCTTCTCACAGCTATTTTTATTATTTTTTTTTTTTAATAGAGCTAGTAATGAATTTTAAAGGTAAAAAAAAATGATTATATGCCCCACCAATACAAGGGGGCCATCAGACAGAGTGCAGATGTGCATTCGCAGATTTCTATTAACTTTTTTGTTACTCAGAGAAAATGTTCCTTTGCAATTTTATTTTTGTTTTGTACACTATTGGCAGGAGTTATATAGAATTTTTAGGTAAGTGATGTGTTAATACATAACAGGCTAGATAAGTTAGGTTTCAAAAGCAATAATTTTATTGAAAAATATATTCATTTTGGATAGTGGAAAATTTCAGAAAAGGTTAGAATCAGCTAGGTATAAAGTTTTTGCTCATGTTTAATAGGGTGTAAGGCAGTGTCTGTACTGATTTCTTTTTTGTTTTTAACCCTTTATTGTAAGTTTTTAAAATATTCCAATTCTAATAAAAAAACTTTGGGCTGTGTCTATTCACTAAGCTGCTCATAGTGCCACAATGGAGGAATAGTTTTGATCTTAGCTTCATATGTTATTTTGTGAGAACTCCAGCAGGCTTGCATGAATATTAGAGAAGGGTAGCAGATCTTGAGCTCTGGTGCAGCTAACACTTAAAGTTTGGCAATTTTTTACTCCAATATTTGCATCTAGTATTTTAGTGTATCATTAAAAATAGGTTCTTTTTAAAGAGAATATGAAGTTTTATCACTCTGAACACTTTTCCGTATCTCAGTAACGAAGAGTTGCTGGTGTGTAAGGATGACCTCAGACTCACAATTTATCACCAGATACAACAGTAGAAGATGTAAAATATATACATTTAGGTTTTATTAACAGTTTCCTGTGATGTCTTCTAAAACTGTAGATGATAGTGTTATATTGCTCAGAACTGAAAAATAGCAGTGACTTTTGGTGATCGTTACTAATGTCTAAAGGAAACCACTGTTAGAAATAGGACCCCCCCACCCCATGACTGTTTAGTTTGTTTTCAGACACTGTAATGAATGTATCCACAGTAAATAAATTATTAATAAAGTTTTCAACATTGAATCTAGTTGCAACGAATTATTCTATTTAGCATGAACTAAAATTCACTTGAAGATTAGGTCTGAGAAAAAGATAACTACACATCGAACAGGGCTTAAGCTTGTATTTTGAGTTTAAGTGGTTTTATGTAAGACCAAGTTTCAATATTATCTTTAAGTATGTTAAATATCAATATAAGCATGATGGGGAAGGGGTTTTCAGGAAAACTTTTGTGTTTCTGTTTAAGAACAGAAACTTTTTTAAAAGATGAAGTAGAAGATGTGTGGAATACATGAAAATAAAGACAAATTCCTTTTTCTTGTTAAAGCAGGGTGCTTGTTATAGTTCTATACCTGTGAAGGGGGGGGTTAGTATTTTCTGGAATATGCTTAAAGAGTAAAGAACAAATTTATGCAAATATTTGTAAACAGGTGACCTGATCTAGGCATCAATTACTCACTTATCCAGGCATAGGGTGTGTTTTGTCATGGTATCTAAAGTGAAAAAGTCAAAATAAAGTCAAAAGAAATTTAAGAATTTGGCTGTGTGAATACATTGTTTCCTCCAGTAGATACTGGACTATAGTTACTACCTCTATCAAGTTATACTTGTTTCTTGCCTGATCATGGCTAATTACTCTCATGGCTGCTTTCTTTTTCTTTTTACTTTTTTTCTTTTTACTTTTTTTGTTTATTTAAAAATAGTATTTTCATAGTCTTATGTGACTGTAATATTTTCATTTATGATTTATAGAAGCTAACATTTGTAGGCTGTATTTTAATAAAGGCAATAATGGTACTGCCTGGATGAGCAAAGTAAATTAAAACTCCTTGAAAACATTAGTAGTTAAATACTTAACAGTCAATAGCATGTGTTAGGAAATATGACAGTAGTAATCACACAACCCTTAAGTAGTTTAGTCTTACCTTACTTCTTTGAGAGTGGGGGGAGAGAGTGAGGGGAGGGGAAGGGAGAACAACACCCTCCCCTCCCCCCAGCTCCTGGGATTTTTTTTTTTTTTTTCCTTTGCCTTACTTTCATCTAAAAATGCTGTGGGAAGAATGAAAGCAGAAACGTGCTGATTTGTTTCAGGGGGCTTCTGATAATAAAGAGGCATATCACAGGTGTTCCTAATCAAGTCAGTTTGGCTTAAAAAAAAAATAAGTATTTTTAAAATTAGGATTTCCTGTAACATAGACAATGTGAGGGTCAAGCCGATGACCTACATCTATGTTTGGGGATCAACCATGAAACTGTGGGTGTTGGAAATACGTTATAATACATGACATTTTTATTGCAGGTTTTGACCTTTCAATAGAGAGCTGATTTTGGAGAACGGCTTGCTCCTGTGATTGAAAAACTCTCTGGAAGGTTGATGGAGCATGAGAATGGTATATATTATATTAACATTTCTCTTATCGCACATGTTCTGTATTAAAAACAAGTATACAGTAGTATAGCTTATTGAGATTATTCAAAATAGGTCAGTTCTGCTGGGTTTGTTCAAGTTTTTTATTAAAATAATTCTTCTTTACACTCCTTCTGTAAAATAATAAAAGATTAAGTAAAAGTCCTAGCACAGGCTGTGCTCAAAAGGAAATGAAGTGGCCAAAAGTATGTATAAAAAGCTGAGTTTGCAACAGCCTTGATCATTAGACTTGCATAAATTCTCCATATAGTATTGTTCTTATGTTCTTGTTTTGGGAGTTACTCCAACTGAAATGTTGCTAATCCGAACCCAAAGTATGGATGATATAGTGTTTATTTTTAAATAGCTAGTTTGTGTTTTTTTTTTGTTGGGGTGGTGTATTAAAGATTAGAATAGAGAGCTAGCTGAGTGCATTTCAATGTACTATGCAAAATTTGTTTTTAAAGGCATTAGTAAACTAGCTACCTGACAAGCAAAGAAGTAGAAAACGGGAAGAAAATGGTCTTCAGAGCCCTCTGTCTGTACCATAATAGTCAAAATTTTTATTTATTTTCTTTCTTTGCTGGGAAATGCATATTATATAGTAAACCAGTGAGCATTTAAGAATATTTTATATGGACTATACTACACTCATATTGCAAGTCCTGCTTTGCACTAGAAGTGCTAATTTGGCTGAAACTGAGAAATCCATTCAGAGTAATCATAACCTATCTACATGTATATGAATAATCTTAACTAACCATTTACATAGATGATTGAAATTAAAATAGCTAACTGCTCTTGGATTGAGTAAATTTGTTTAAATAATAAATGGAGTAGTAAAAACTGTAATATTTTATCTTCGGCAAAATATATTACAGTACAACAAATTTTATGAACATGTTGTGACTTTAGCAATTCCAGCTTTCAGCTGGAATCCAGTTTTTATCCATAATCAGATCTGTCTGTCTTCAAGAGCATTTTTTCTTATTTTTTTCTTTTTTTTGTAGGAAGTAATTGTACCATAAAATGAGAGAATTTTTAAACCCTAAAATTTTAGATTATCCCAGTAACTCTAATTTACACCAAGCAAATCCAGCGAGGTGTAAATTTCATATTTCCTTATTGTTGTAACTAATGGCTAGTTAGCTGAAGAACTGCTGGCTTTTACCAGTAATACACCTCCTGTTACAGAAGTATCCAAAGTAGATATGTTCTGAATATATTTTTCACATAATACTATGATTTCAGGATAGTTAAGACCTCCTATGGAAAATTATCAGTTGACAAACAAAGCTCTGAATACAGAAAGTATAGGAAGTGAAACATAACTTTACAAAAGATTTTCAGCTTGTGAGTAGTGCATAGGTAATTCTTAATTTTTAACCTTTCCTTCTTTCTGTGATTAAACACAGTGAAAGTATCTTGATTAATGCTCTAACAGTGTTTGGGTAACATGCTTAATATGCTTCCAAATAAATAAATATTTCACAGTGTGTCCAGAAACTGCTCTGAATGTACTGCAGTGCTGGTTTGAGGGATTTTTTTATTTTTTTTAACTTTTTTCCTTTTTTTTTTTCTTGTTATCTGAGGAATATAAGGGTTTCGCAGCACACTTATTTGAATTTCATTTTTTTTTCTGTACAAAAGCAATTACATTCATGTTAATGAAAATCAGGATTATATTGCAAGGCAAAGGTATCTAAGGCTCCCTTGTGAGATATTTAAAAGGTGAAAGCTTGATGGACTGTTCCTTGGTCTGACACAAGTTCAGAGTATTTCTCATAGATTCTTATTCAGCAGGTTTCTGGTTCACAACTGTAAATCAAAGGGGTTTTAAATTTATGGCCTAATTCTGCAAAATTTTAAATACACAGGTAGTCCTAATGACTCAAAACCATGAATAAGGATTTGCAGAATTATGTTCTCATTAGAAGCAAACTTTATTTCCTTGAATGAATAAAAGATATTGGAGTATTTTGAACTTTGAGACAAGTTTAAATAATTTTTATAAAGTCAGAAGAATTTTGCAGTAATGGAGTAATTGAGTCTTACTCATTTACAGGCTCAAGTATCTTTCAAGAGTGCTGCAGTTGTTACTATCATTAGAATCCACTTTCTAGGTGTTGATTTGCTCTAGAACATTTTTATGCTGAAATTTGGTTTTGTTTTTTTTTTTTTTAATTGAATTATTTTGTATTTGGTAGTTAGCATGGCTCTTTCATTACCCAGAGAGTAGGTGGAACTTTAAAGAGACACGTGGGGTGTATTTGCTTTATTTTCTTACTCTTAGCCTCTGCTATTGTAGTTCTTTTTTTAGCAAAATTCCCATTATTTTGTTGTAAACTGATCCTGAAATAAGGGCTGCAGTACTTGCTCCTTAAAAATAGTTGGTGGGGCTATTGCAAATTATATGCTTGACTTCATGAACTGTTTTGCAATACCTAATTGTAAGAAAGCTGAAAAGATAAAATGTACAGACTTCTTTGCTGAAGTGCTTCTCGTGTCACCTTTCATGGCCACTTTTACTATTCGTACTTTAGGTACACACTTGAGGCTCTACAGGACCTTGTTGACTGAATCATGATTTGAAAACTGAAATGCATGCTTATTGCTCATCCAAAAACTGTTGCAGATTTTGTCCACTCTTATACTTTCTTTAAGGACTTTTCTTGCTTTTCAAAGGCAACTTAAATAGTTTTCCTGAAAGAGATATGTAGCTATAAATGCAACCCATGCCTGCTTATTACAACACATGTAAAATCAGCCATTGTTTGAAACCCTATGACATCTTAGGCATGGCTGTTTAAAGTTTTGAAATCTGAAACAACTGAATTTTCTGAATTTTGTTAATTTAAACTAGATCCAGCCCTAACATTATTTTTAAATGTAGTTTTGTATACTATTAGACTTAAATAGACATTAACTTTTATTATTAGATTAGGCATTTAATGAAACATGTATATAGGAAGGATTTAAGACTGGTATATTTACACCTCATTTTTCCTTGTCTGTTGATAAAATGGTCTTGCAAGGCAATAGGAAAAGAAAAACAAATGACATACAAATTCTTTAGGAAAAATAGTTACAACATGCTAATTGGAATATTTAAATGCTTATCCTTCTCACTCAAATGCAAATATATGAAAGTAAGGCATTGCCCCTTTCTTTACTACTCTGAATTTTATATATTTATTTATTTCAACCAAAACCTAAGTAGAAATTTATGTAAACCCGTAAATTTAAGCTGTGGGTGGGCAAGTGAGAAATGTAATTCAAGTTCTTAAATGGTAAGCTACTGTATTGATGGATTGTTAATCCACCTTGTTTTAGACTGCTGTTCACACACTAACATGAAAAAGGGCATGTATGAAGGTGCAGTTGCTGATTAAGTAGTGTGTTTGAATAAACCCCTGTTTCTAGCTTTGCTAATTTTAAATTTATTTTAAATATATGGATATTCACAGTAATTTTTTTTTTATTCTGACTATTTGGGGGCAGGTTTATTTTTTTACAGAGAACAAGCTTTTTCTGTTACATTGTTAAGAATTTTTACACCAGTATTTTGAGGAAATGGGTGCTTTGTAGCAAAATACACTACTAACATAATCTGTTCAAAGCAAGAAATCAGCAATAGGTATTTTTTTTAAAATTTGTGCAGCACTTGGAAATCTCATCAATGTGTAAATATCTCTAAAAGGTTTACACCTTTCCATTAACCCACTATATGCATAGAGCTTGCTTTTTACTTTATCTGGGTGTCCTATGGGTTTTCTTGTTCTGGGGGTTTTGTTGGTTTTTTTCAGCCTTCAGATCAAAGATTGTAATGATTTGATCCATCCGCCTCTTAGTTCATATGAAGAGTGATTTTTTTTTTTAATTGTTGTTTTTTGTTTTTTTTCTTTTAATTTCCCCTCTCCTCACAGAAAGAAATGGATTTAAATATTACTATGAAAGTGGACATAAACATTTTGAAAGTATTGTAATTATTAACATGATTATGGTCTTCCCAACTTTAACTGTTAATTTCTTACTTCAGAATAGATACAGCATAACATAAGTCACTTTCAGATTTAGACAGGAATTCAAGTGGTTCTGCTGAAGCAAAAGTTTGGCTTTGGAATTTCTATATTCCTATGGAGCAAAATTTTTCTCTTGGTAGAATGGGTGTATACTGTGGCCTTAAGTGTGTTATCACCTCAGTAATTCTGAAAACACTTTGCTTCTTCTTCTTACAAGTTAGTCCATATTTTAGTCAAGATCGGGAATTGGAAAAGGAAGATGCTTCATCTTCTGTGAAACCTTCTCATGGGTCTTATGAGAAGGTGTATCTCTAAATCAAAATACATTTTCAAAAGTCTGTTGCAGAACAGAGTTTTCTGTTGAAATTATCACACTTACATCAGTGTCTTGCACAGGCAAAAAAACTCCCTGTCAAAAAGAATGTATATGTACTGGTTACCCTGTCCTCAGGCTCCCCACACCAAAGGATTGTTTTTCCAGGTTCACAGGAGAAGGGAGAATGATGCTTTTAATGCCAAGCACGGGGGTTACACAAGCAGCAGTCCAGTGTGTTGGGGTTTTTTTCCATTTGTTTTATCATCTCACTAACAGTATGTTTGAGTTCTCAGGCAGACTGAGTATTAGTTAGGGATTGTAGTTCTGTATAACCAAACTGATTTTTTTAAATAGAGGGTCATATGCTCATCTAAATGGTATTTAAGATACTGGTATCTGGTAATGATATTTAAGATAATGGTATCCATAGGCTGTTTGATATGCAAGTGTTATGACTATGTTCTCTAGACTTCTTTAAGTCCTAGGTTCATGGCCTTTCTAATCAAATTCAAGAGTAGGTAAAATATGGTTTGATATAAACTCACAGGAAAACGCTTGCACTCTTCTTTTTGGAATTACCAGGTTGAAAATCTGGATCTTCATTTGCATGGTGCCTGTTTTGCATCTAGTTTTTAGAGTGTAACTAGGAGACTCTTGAATTAGCAGTGGGAGAATAATTCCTTCCAGGGTATTAGTACTGCTAGACTGTGTTCTGTTTTTACACCAGTAACTCTTCAATTTTCATTAAGGTTTTGATCCCAGCTATGTCACTGTAATTACAGTGAATTTGGCTGTGAAGACTGTTTGCTTCAGAAATAGTTTTGTGAAGTTCCATAAGAAACTAACTGAAATGTAAAATACAAGAATGTTGGTAAGTTATCTCTTAGATTTAGTCTTGATATTTTATTTTTTTTTCTGTTTAGAGATATAGATTTCTTCTTGTGTTTTCAGTGTGTAATCCTTAATTTGTCAACCTCATGGTCTTCTGACCTGAAAATGATCATTCAAATTGCTGTTCAATTTTTTTGTTTGTTTTATTTTTAGATGAATATAACTTATGTTGCTGACCCACTTTCCATTATGTAAAAACCTGAACAGAATTTGTCATTGAGGTAGGAATTCACGAAGGCTGACACTAGAGGGCAATTCAAAGCAGCAGCTTACCCCTGAACAGTTGCAAGTTGGTGTGGCCCTGTGTTGAAAAAGGCAGAGCTCACGGAGGCTTTCCAAGGGTCTTCTCCAGGCAAATCTGGTCTTTCTGATTACCCTCCTAAACAATTTATTTAAGTCGCTTTTCATGGCCTTGAGTGCTCTACTGAGTGAGGAGGAAGCTAAGCCAGTTCTTATGCATTGGTGAATTAGAAGTTAAGGAACATCTTCCACGTTGTCTTACCTCACTCACTCTTGCCACTGTCAAAAAGGTAAAACTTAGTTGGTGGGTTTTGTTTTTAATTTGCTGCCCTGTGCTACATTGACCCTTTGTCTGAAAGATACTGGGGTTTGGGAAGGAAGGTAATATTGTACTGAAATTTAAGCGCCTTTTGTTAAATATCAAGGAAAACAGAATATATGGTGAGTAAAATATATTCTTATGCATTTTTTGCAAAATACTGCAAAGTTATGCAATTAATAAGACTTATAAATAATTCATTTCATGTAAAATTAAAAAAAAAAGCAAAACCAACCAAAGGGGAGAAAAAAAACCACACACACCACAAACAGAATCACCAGAGAGATACTCTGTCCATAATTTTATCAAGGAAAATATATTACACCAAACATAAAAAAAAAAATTAGTTGAAGATGAGTAATCAGGTGCTGTATTTAATATTTTGGCTGAGAGAGATCATCTGTGTTTATTGTGCACAATTTAAACAATTTATATAACAGTGCATTACATAATAAATGACAGTTTTCACAGTTGCAATGTTCGTTATAGATTTACAGAACATCTTGAATGCTTGTAAATAATAACCTGTAATGCAAGTGGTGATGTCATGGTTCTTGAAAAGCACTCAAGAATTCTTATTTTAGGAATGCAAATTCTCTCATTATATTGAGAGCCATATAAATGCTTTTGCCACAGTACAAATTTCAACAAGCAATTCTATAAATGTGTGTGTTTAAACCTGTCTCTCTGGTTTTATATACATAGATATCATATATTACTGTACATTTTATTTTTATATAAACCCCTAAGATTAAAATGGCATGATCATTCTGAACTCTGTACCATTTTTTCAAGTAGTATTATCTTTGCATTCTCTCATGTAAGTTAGTATAAATGTCTAAAACTTGTTCTTGGTTTAACTGTTCTCAAGGATTTTTATAAGGAATACAATCAATTTTATAAGGAATACTTGCAATCACTATGGCAGTGCCACAAATCAATAGAAATACTACAATACATTGTTACAGTAAACATTTGCACCTGTTTTCTGCAGGTCTGATCAGCAACTCCATTGCAATTTGAAAATATGTAATCAGCTGGAGGCGATGTGCCCAACCTTAATCGGTGCTGGAGCCTTTGGAAGAGAGAGATTGTGTCATCACACAGTATATAGTCCAACAATGACTGACCTTGGTGAATCTGTGAAAGAAGAAAATAGTTTTCTCACTTCTTAAATTGCAAAATGCACAAAAGAAAAAGAAATAGTAGAACATGTGGAATTTAACCCATTCAAGTTTTTAGATTCTCTGGGGCTTAGGGGAGGTTTTGGGGCAGGGGCACTGTTGAAGAATAATTTGATGATCATGTGCAGTGATAAAGAGGTCTTAATCACACACATGAACTCTTGATTTTGGGAATGTGAATATTTATACCAAATCTGGCTGAATACTTAAACCGAGCATGCACGTAAGCTTTTAAGGAACTGAATACTAAGTCTTGCAGGTAAGACACTGCCGAATTAAGAATAAGCATTTTTGTGCCAACATGAGTCTTGTGTCTTTTTTTTTTCCTTTTACCAGCTTGATTTTTGGCTGTAAATCAAAGAGACCAGTTCTGTTGTTAAGCTAACATTCAGGCTGTCTTCAGAATTTTCTTTATTTCAAAAAAGCAAGAACAAATGTGTAAGTACCAGCAATGCACAGACCAGTATTGCAATATTGGTCTGTTCTATCTTTAAGCAGGTGGTTTCATGTGGCAGGCTGGAAGAGAGACTCTTTTTCTTCCCAGCTTTTGACAAAAAGATGACGCATATGACTCAGAATTAGAAGGGGAAATCTGCCAGTTTGCATCAGTTCCTTAACTTGTGGGCTGCTATTCACCACAAGGAGAATCAGTATACTCGCACCAGTGCTTCTTGAGAGATGAGGAGTAATCATTCCCTTCAGAAAGTGTAGGATGATTGGAGTAGGCCTTTCATATGTTACACTAGGCTTTTCCTGTAAGATTTCTTTGATTGTATTAGATTTTTAGAAAGAAAAAACCCATGATGATACATTTAATGTTTAAAATAAGAATCGGACATCTTATAGCTTAATGCAGTGTAAAAGCAATCTGCTTCCTTTTGAAAATATAAAATTTTTGTTTTGCTGGCACTGAGACTCAAAAACCACTGTAGATCTCCAGTCAAAAGGTAAGTTTTTAGTATTTTTTTTCACCTAATTCCATATATCTAAATCTCCATTTCCAGCTTTCAAGTAAGTTAGTAGGACTGAAAAAAAAATTAAATATAGTAACTTTGAAGGCAGAAGCCATCTGTTTTGAAGGGGAAAATAATTATTTGAAGTAAGGAAGATCTGATTTTCAAAATGTCGTCCTCTAGACCTGCTAAAAAAGATAATGTACAACTTAATGATAGTTCCAATTCCTTCATATAGGTTTGGTTTATGAAGTAGAGAGACTTCTTGCAAGACTGTTACTTGCTCAAAGAATGTACTGTCAACTAGCCTTTAAAAAAAAAACCAGGAAAAAAGTCAAATGCTGATTGTTCAGAGATTAATGTCTTCTTTTTAGTTAGTGGATATTTACTCAGTTTGACAGGACTGAGAGTACAGTTTTATTTATTCTTTTTACTATTTGTGCTCTTTAGGTATTGTAATTCTTTTTCTTAATATATTAACTTCTAGTTAATTCAGAATGGTTTTACTTTAAGCTTGCTAGTGAAATATTGAAAATCTGGCTTAATATAAAGCCATAAAAGACACACAGCATCCTTATCTTTTTCCTCCCCCCCCCCCCTTTTTTTTCTCCTCTTCCTCTCCAGTGGATAAAGTTCCTTTCATTTGGCAAAACTTATTGTTGTTGTTTTGAAAAAGCATATCCTAAGTGAAGTTCATTTTCTAGTTGGAAAAATGAACTTCACTGCTTAGCAATCGGTGTCAGCCTTAGAAAGCACCATTTTATTTGCAGTGCATACAGTTCTGTGAGTAGTGGATTTCACTGATAGGGAGCTGGGGAACCAACCCCTAAATATTTTGGAAAGGGACTATACTAATTTCTGTGTTAGATGGTATCTCTTCTATTAATATTTCACAGAGGGGTAGGGGGAAGATTGAAACAGCCTTCTGAGTTGCTGCTGCTGTATGTTTCCTCACCTACCCTTAAATTAACAAAAATCTCAGATATAATAGCTGGGAAGCTGTACTCCAAAGGTTTAAGGACACCTGAAACTTCTGCTGAAGTGACTGATTAAATAATAAAGCTGTAGAAATACAGCTAAGGATCATGAAAGTTCTAGCAATTACTAGGAGGTGTTCCTCTGCTGTTAACTAGTGGATTCCTGTAACAATTGAGTTGATTTCTTTCTAAGAGTTCAGTCTCACGTTTTGTAAGTCATACGGTTGTCTGGCATTTTATGGAAGCCATGTAGGGATGATGTCAAGAAAAAGACAAATTTACTGTCTGAGCCAGAAGGCAGGCTTACAAAAAGCAACTTCTTTTAGGACACGAAAAGCTCTTTGTTCTGTGGCCTTGGTCTTTTTGTGCTTTGACCCTTGTATTGTAGCATTGTCACTCTGACCCTAAATCTTTGGAAGCAGACATGCAGCAAATTTAGCCCTTTACAAGTGGGGTTGAATTCTGAGCTATGCGCCTGGTTTTTGTCTTTAAGCGTTATAGTCCCATGCTATACTGAGATGTACCAAAACAAAAATTTAAGATTTGTGGTTTTGTGTAGTGCAGGCAGTGTTATTTGCATATCAGTCCCTTTTCTGTATATATATTGCTATATTACTGTTGTATGATTTATTATTATTTACCAATTTCAGATAAGATAGCAACTAGGAGGTCAGTCTGGTTAACACTGACTAATGTATTTTTCCACTTTCCCAGCAGTACTTTGAAAACTGATCCTGTGCATAGACCAGGGTTTCTGCAAAATATTACTTAAGCATTAAGTATTCTGTTGAGGACAAGAAATGCTTTGCTGTACATTGTAGAGAAAGAAGATTTAAACAGCAATACTTATGTGGCTTGCTTTCATAAAAGACTGGTGCCAGCTTAGGAGAGCACACAATCTTACGCTAGGATTGTGACTGCTTCCTGGGCTAACGTGAAAGTCCTCTGAGATATTTTTTATTGTTATTATTATTAATTCTTTAAGAAAGCTAGAAATGAATGAAAAGGTCAGAAAACTACTAGCTGTTAGGTTTTGATTTTTTTTTTTTTTTTAAAGAATCTGATATATTCAAGAGGAGAACCTCTTTCCCTATCTTAATAACTCTCCATTATATAGTTGGTTTGTATTGTATGGGTATTGTTATTTGGAGAGGATTGTTCCATTTTCTCTTTTGCCAGCAATGATTCTATATAGTTCAGGTTTTGTATGTACTATAATCTAGGATAATATTTTCTGAAGGTAATAGTGTAATAATCTAGGGATATGTTTCTTGGAGAGCTTGAAAAAATATATATGGATTTTTATTTTAATCTGAAAAGGTGTTATGAATTTTGCTTAAAATACTGATATAGAAACTGAACTTGTATTTTAAGACAGAGCTGGCTTTATTTTTGCCACTCGAGTATTAATATTTTTTGTGATAAAATCATGAGGGAAAGGAACATTTTCATGACCACTAAATGAAATGTAAAAGTTCACAGAACACAGAAAATGTTTCTTCAGTTTTCTTAATTTCCTATATGTCCTTTCAAGCAGAAAGAATGCTGATACAGATTGAAAGTGTTCACACAGTTTTCTTCCTGTGTGCCTGCCAAAGGTGCAGGGAAGACAGATTTTTAAAAGTTGCGTGCAATCAAGAGGGATCTGGAAAGCTTTTCTGAAATAAAACTTTTACCAACTCTGTTAGAACCCAGAGCTTGTTACACTTTACAAGTTCCCTGTAAAGTATTTCATATAGCAGTTTAGTTAATGCATCTACATCTGACAAAACACTCTTTAGAAGCTGGGAAAAGAGGTGGGAGTAGTTAGTCTTATTTGATTTTATTTTTAATCTAGAGTTGATACTGAAATATACAGATAATATTCTAAAATATACATTGATAATATTTGTGTGCTGTATCAGCTTCCCTTAGTTCTGGTTGGTTTGTTTTTTTTTGTTGTTGGGTTGGGGGGGTGGTTGATTTTTTTTTTTTTTTTTTAAGCTAGCAAGTTATAAAAACTGCTTGACATCCTGTACTTGTTCAAGTCAGAACTGAACACCTTTAGTTTCTTGCCTTCCAGATAAATCCTCTGTATTTTTGTTGCTATTCACTGCTCCAATGGAAGCATCAGTACTGCAGCACCAAATTACTGTCTTCACTTTGGTTTGTTTTTGTGACTGCAAGGGCAGGGGCGACTACTGCACCTCATAAAAATGAATATGAGATAAACTAGCTTAAGCAGAGGTTGGAATACTGGGATGAAGTAAAAAAGATGTAAAACTGAATTTGATGCTGATAGATAATAACTGCACTTACAAATTTCCAGGTATTTATATACTTCTGAGTTTCTTGATGGTTTTACTTCCTGGTTTTTATTTTTAGCTGGCTTTGGGTTTGTTTTTTTATGTTTATCTTATGCAGTAGTTCTCCAGCTAGTCTAAATATGTTTGTTCATGATCCTTGGAGAGATGGTTGGACACATGATATAGATGCTTCAAATTTAGTAGTAGTAGATTACAATAATCAGCATTTATCTGCTTAACTTTCATTATTAATACTTTACATTGCAAACAGTTTCTGCAGTTCCCCCAGCCATGGTCCTATGGCAAAAAGAGTTGACATGATCAGAAAATAGTTAACAGTCAGTCTTTGTCAAAATTTTTATGCTCGACCTTACCCATAATTTACAAGCAAAACTACAGATTGGTGCTAGATATCTCTGTTAAAATCTTTGTGTTCAGGAAATTATCCAAAGCATTAATTGTAATTTTTTAAGTTTGATAATAGTCTTGGAAATATTTAATTGCTTGGTTGAATGTATGGAGAGATCTATTATACATGGAGAGTGTGTATAAGCTCAGTCCTTAATGACTGCTCCTTTTTGACGTAAAGTGGGGCTAATTTATTGATGGATTACAGTCATTTAATAAAAAAAAAATTATTAAAAAACCCAACCCTATCACAGAGTTGCTAGGTTGGAGACAGATTGTATTTTAGAATTGCAGCCTTAAACATGAGTTCAAAATCTTACTATTACTTCAGGAGAATAGCAATTAAGGTGTATAGTTTATTCTCTTAATTCTTCTTCCTCTATGATCATAAAGCAGCCTAAATCAAGTTGAGCGAATTAACCAAATATCATAGGTTATACCTAAACCAAATAATAGTGTGATAGTAGCCAAAAGTACACTGATAGCTTTAAAGTAATACTTTGAAATATTTCAGTTGAATCTTTTCTCCTTTTTAAAATATGCATATCACTTTAAAGGCTGCTGACATTAAGAATTAGGGGGAAAGGAGCTTCCTTAACAAAAGCAACCAGAAGGCAGAAGTAAAAGAATATACTTCTAAATATAAGTTTTAAGAATGAGCAAGAATTATAAATTTCAGTGTGTTTGCAGTATAAATATTACAGTGTTGAGTAAGTATATGACAAAAATAAAGTGAAACTACTATTGTTTAAACGGGGGGGGGGGGGGGGAGAAGTAAACAGCATATTATCAAGATACAGCTACATACATTTTTAGGTCTTACAGTTTTGATGTTTGGGAATAAAAGTGTTTAGATTTCTTAATAGTGAAGTGAGATTATTTTTAATTGTCTTTTTCAGAGATGAATTTAGTATTAAAAACAATACATATTTGCAGCAAGAGTTGAACTGTCAGTGTATTTATTCATATTTAATGATGTATTCGTGGCACTGAACTGTGAGCTCTGAGAGGAGAGCTTTGCAAATTCACCAGCAGTTGTCCAAAAAGTGTATCACTGCAAAACGTCCTGTCTACCATATGAGTAAGTTATCATGGAATGCACAGAACAGGACACACTTGTCAGAGCTGCCTAACTTCATACTGTGCCATTTGAGTGCAAAGCCTGTCTCATTTCTAGTTCAAACTAAGAACCTAACCTGGGAAAGCTGAGCTATAGAGATGTACTCTGATGTCTGTGCAGTGGGAGAGAGTAGCACTGGTGGACAAATAATGTACTGTTTTAGACAGTGGGACACCAAGAGCCTTTGGGTGTCTTTCACCTTCATATTTCTAATTTTAAACTGTAATAAGGTTGGGAAAGGGTCACAATAAACAGTGAAGCAAGACTTGTTTTTATAGTGGAACTGTATTGCTTTGCATTAGTAAGTAGCAAAAGCAATGGAATATGGTTGTGTGCAAATTATGTGTACCTATCGATGAGGAAGGTGTTTTGGCCAAGAAATATCAGAAGAGTGTTTTTGTTGTATGAGCAAAAGGCACAAGGGAAGTGTTTTATCTTATGTTCTGGGGCAACTGAGACAATATACAGTACTTAATAGAAAGGCCTTGATATGTTTTACTCCAGATCACTAAATGTCAGATTGGTGGCTAGTGGTACGTTTTTTGATACAATATGTTACATAGCACTTAAAGAGCTTATTAGTAGTTACAGTAGCATTTTAGGAGCTTATTAGTAGTTATAGTAGCCAGAAATTCTGATGTAGCTGGTTTTCATGGGGTCAGAAAGGGATTGGATTGGGCTTCATGTTGTAATAAACTCCTAAACATAAACCAATAAAACTGAACGTGATATTTTTTATTAGGCCTGGTCTTTGAGAAATCAACTAATAGTGAAATCAAGGAAAGGCCCCATATTGGGAACACCCCAATATAAAAATAACACACCCTTTTTTTTTTCTTTTTTTTTTTTTTTTTTTTTTTACTGTACCAGCTTTTTTTTCTAATGGTATTCCTGGCTTCTGTGTATGTGTGGAGAACCTGCTTCTGTTGAATTTCAGTTCTGTGTCTTCAGTATCCTTCCTTCCACCTTCCTTATCAGACCTTTTGCTTCCAGGGACTTGGGGGGAATCTAATGGAAATGCTTGCATACATGATTTTCTGCATCGATAGAGGTCTTCTGTCTCTCACCCACAAACTCCATCTTAAGATACAATAGAGGTAGGAGAAGCACTCTTTATAGTATGACTATACTAGCTCTGTGAACAAAACATAGAGGTACAAAGCTTTGTGCAGACACTCATGGATTTCAGACTTCTGGCTTAGCTGTCAGTGCTTTTTATCTTAGTCTTCTTCCTTTCATCCTTCCTGTTCTTCAACCCCCTTCCACTCCTTCTCTCACATATAGTGTCTTAATTTTTACGTGAAAACTTGCTTATTCTCCTTACAGATAAAATATCGTTTTAATAGCAACTTAGAAAATAGATACAGTTGTGTTTGATTTTGTTTGTTTGTTGGTTTGTTTTGGAGCATTTTTGGTAGTAAAGTTTAAAGAAAAAAAAAAAGATCCAAAGCCATAAACTACTTCCACTCCACCCTCAATCCTGTAACGCATGTGAAGTTTTGTGTTCATGTTTTGGGTGGGTGGGGAGAATTACCTGTAAGTTCTCTTATCAGTGTACTTACTGTAGAAAATAGCATAATAGTCTTGCCAAGTCTTCATTTCATGATATGTCTAGTTTAATTTTAGAGGGATTTACTTATGCAACTGGAAAAAAAACCTCCATGGTGAAGCTAAAAGCTAAAAACAAATAGGCAAATGAAACAACAATATCTAGTTAAACACACATGTAGTTTACAAATGAGGAATTTGGCCTGAACATACAAATAAGAAACGTACTTCTAAAGGTATTAAGTGTTGCAGCTATTTTATTTGAGTAATTTCCTTTCAATCTTTTAAGGTAAATCTACAAGTAAGAGTGTTTTCTCTTGCTGGAGAGCATCTTTTGTATTCTATTTCCACATTTCTTACTGCTGTCTAGCATTTTTACCTGCATCTATGTTCATCTTTGACTTCCATGTTACAGATACGTATGGTGGAAATTTTTCTCAACCTCTTTCTCCATTGGATTTTCCTTAGCACAGTTTCTTCAAGGGGGGGGGGAGGCCAGCTGTCACAGCATTCCTTTACAGTTAAGTTTATTTTGACTCTGCATTCAGGTTTACTTCACCAAGGTACTTTGTAAGTTGTGCCTATAGAATCTAGTTTGCCTATTTTATAGTTGTCCAGTTTAAGATAAATGAGTAAATATAGGTAGTAAGAGGGAGGGAATGTGTAAATATAGTTGTGCATGTTTAAAATATACTGGAAATGTCTCTTATACAGTTCCTAAATGAGCATTTTTAGCCTGATAGCTGTGTAAAAACCTCATTGTTGCTGCAGCTACCTGTAAACTCTTACACTGGCAAATCTCACTTTAATGGCACATTTGTAGCAACAAACCCTTCTTGCAGAGATCAGCCTGCTGTGTAACTCTAGGAGCAAAAATAGGAAGGGAGAAAATGAAAACTAACTGAACTTTACTTCCCCTTGTGGCCTGCTGAACATTTTTGTGCTTACAGATAGTCCTGATAATTTACAGAAGCTGTTTTATCATGAACTGAGTAAAGGCTCATTACAATGGAATGGAGTGCTTAGGTCCATGCTGTGTATGTATTTTTTGTCTTAATAATTTGGTTATCTAGGGAACCAGTGAAAGGACTGTACACACTTGAAATGCTGCATAATTTAGTGTAACAAAAGGATATCTGGCTGGGATGTGAACTCCCTGTCTACCTCTACACGTAAAGTAGCATGGTCATTCTAGAAGATGAACTCCTAATCCTAATAACAGATAAGTTACTGTTCTTGCTAACAATCTTGGGGGTGGGGGGGGAGTTATTATATTTTTTTTTTTTCATCTGAAATGGTTTAAGAAGCACTTGTAAATCTGTCTGCCCCAAAATTGTGGGAAAGAGTAGCCTGCAGATGTAACAAACTGCTTGGAGACTGACACAGTACTTGACAGAAGCTTATTTTGAAATTAACTCTTATTTTCTTACACATGAAAGTTGACAGGTTTTCTTGAGTTTTGGTTTGTTTTTTGGTTGGGTTGTTTGTTTAGTTTTTGGTGGTTTGTGTTTTTTTTTTGCGTTTTTGGTTTTTTTTTTCCCCACATCAGGCTTCCAGATGACCAAAAGTTAGATTGGAAAATAACCCAAACATTTTGTTTTGTTTTGAAGTAAACATCTGCATATCCTTTAGTTCCCCTAATCAGGCACACAATTGTTCAGTTCCTGGTTTGTGTCCCATGAAGGTATTGTGCACAGTTGACAATGAAGTCTAGATCTAGAGCTTCAATATGAATAAACAGCTTGGCAATGGAAAAATGCCTAATACACATTTTATAGTTTATTAATACAGCTGATGTCGCTACATGGAAATTAATGTTCAATAAGAAAATTCTGCATTCAGCTTTCAGTATGTGTTTCTATTTCCTTGAAGTATGGTAGACACCTTGGCATAACGTAGCAGCACATAATGGTTTGTGGGTTTTGAAAAGGTGCAGGCCATATTGTGCTGCCTCAAAAAAACAAGGATTTCATCATCCTGAAGAGAAATACCACTTACGAATTAGTCAATCTTGTGATGCTGATGTCTGTCATACCTTAGCAGCACGTAAATATTGGTGTTAAGACTGTAAATATCTCCAGTATTAACTGTGCTGCTGAAGTAAGGCTAGCCACTTCTGCATGTGAGTCATGAAAAAGGGTATTTCATGTATTTCCGGATGCCTTTTTGTTGTTATAATTTGTGCTGATTGTTTACATTCTTGGCTTTTGTTTGTATTTACATCTGTTCAGGAATAATATTTAGGACTTTATAGTATCTGATGGCAAATATAAAACAGGCACATACAACTTTGAATGCTTTGGTTTACACTGAAGCTGGGTTTGTTAAAGGAGCCATCTCAAGCTATACCTGTCTAACAATGCTTTGGTAAGTGTGTTTGTATGAAAAAAATACTAAAATGGTTTTACTTTAAATATCAGTATTTCTTTATTAAAACTCTTAAAATTGTGTGTTCATCTTTACAGCATTTTCTCAATGAGTGGAACTGGGAAATGTTTTGTCATGCTTTTAGCCAAGTGAGCAAACATAGCAAATATATCTTAAGTTTTTAATGTAACTTTTTAAACATTTAATTTCTTAAATCACAAAGCCTATAGACAGGCAACAGTTTTATGGTTAGAAGTTTAAACTGTGTATCTGACTGAATTTACTAATTTTTTTTCCTCATCTTTCACTAAGATTTTTCACTTGCAGGGGAATCTCATTGAGATGATTGAAATTGCTGCAGTGAGAATGGAAATTACTTGGGCTCCTTTCCTTTTAAAAGCTGTATGCAAGAACTGTGTGGTGAGTCAAATGTAGACTAATGGTTATGTAAATGTCACTAATTTTAGATACAGTCAAGATCTTCAAGTGTGTTTCCTTTTAAGATTTTATTTTCTTCACTATCATGACTCAGTATCACTTTCTAATCTCATTTTATTAGCCTTGTTGTATTTTACCATTAAAATACATATGCCTTTTTCAAATAAGTGCTCACAACTTCAACTTTATATATTGTATAGATGTTTTAAAATGAGGAAAAAAAGCTTGTCTCCACTGGAGTTTTGTTGTGACTTAAGGCTTCACAAGCATGCTACTGGTGCAGTTGCACAGGTACAAGCATGATGTAGATGAATCTTCATTCAAGTTGTTGTGATTCATATATCTGTATTATATGACTGTATAGAATTTCAGCCTGGTGTATGTGCTGGTAAAGTTCACACCTTTCTCTGCTGCCCCTGCTATGGATTTCAACTGGTGAAAGTACTGCTGGCTAAAATTTCCGGTTCCGTTCAGACCTCAATTGTAAAACTATGCAGTATTAGATAGCCTACAGCTTTTCATAAAGTAAACATTTCTGTGTTTACATTTACCTGCTACAGGTCTCTTAAGATATGCAGCCAAAATGAGGTTGACTACTGAGGAAAAAAAAAAAACGCTCTTTGGCTCAGACTGTAACTGTTTAACACTAAAGATCTGCACTTGCTTTTCAGCCATTTGAAAATTTAGAAATCCTTGGAAAGACCGACCTCAGTGAGTTATAAAAGAAAAAGACCTTATTCTCCCACTGTTCCTCTCACTTTAAAGGTCACTGATTATTGTTAGCACATTGCAAACTGTGATGCTTGCAGAGGACCTTCCCAGGACTCTTGTAGAATCCAGTACTTTAATGTATTTAGGCTTTTTCTCTGACTTCTAGGACTGGATGGGATTCTAAAGAGCTGTTCAGAAAGATCTGAGACCATGCAACAAGTAAGTCTATTTGCATGGCTGTGTCAAGATCCAGTAACCAGACCATTTGTTCCTGACTACTTCATTGTGCCAGTGCAGGCCTTCGTGTGAATAGTTGATGGAGAGTCTTCAACCTGTCCTGTTCAGATAGTTTTTCCTGCATCTCATCTTCAACTGGCACAAGGCTGGGGATGGCAGGCAGTGGGAAGAAGCAGAAGTGGAAAGGTTGAACTGCCTTGTTTGGTGGCCCTAGCAGCTTGTAACAATTCAGTGATATGATGAAAATACAATTTGAGCATTGTGAGAACCAGAGCTCAGCTGAGGAACCAAAGCTCCCGTCTAGATTAAGAAAATTACTTCAAGTGCTTATGAAGGCCTACTCAATTTATTTATATCCTAAACCTTTGAAAAGATCATCTTATTTTGCACAGTCCACAGTTGCCTTAAATAATATTAGCAGTTGTATTTTCCAGTTGTTTACCTGCATGGACAGAGCCATAGCCCATGGCTGAATGGAACTCCCTCCGCTTTGCAGCTCTTGAGATCCTAAGAGTTGTCTCATTTAACAAAGGAAGGCTTGCTGTTTTCAGGTCAGAGGGTTGTTTCTGCTAGGCTTAGGAACTGTATGGGAACAAAGATGCTTTCTTCATATAAAACAAAAAGAGAAGGTAGGCCTGCTTGAAAATAAACTGAGACTAGCAGCTGTATAGGAATGAAGACAACTAGTGAGAGAAGCATTAGTCTAACAATCTAATGTTGAAAGGTTGGAGCTGAGAACTGATAGTGGAAGGACAGATCTGATGAAATGGAAAATTCAACGGATTAGGACAGGTTGGGCAAAACTGGGGGGTTTTGTTTGTTGAAATTTGAACAAGCAGCAGCCTGACAAAAGGGATCTGGCCTGAGGCAAAGAAAATGAGTCAGGCTTGGGGAAAGGGGCTTTCGCATCTGGGATCATTCCTAACATTCACAGGAGCACACTGTGCTTCAGCTCCAGAAGGGAATGCAGACTGTTAAGTAGTAGGTTTTGCTGTCATCTGTGAAATCACGCAATTGCATCCCCCTCATCATATTCAACACAGAGAGGGCAACCTTTAGCGTTCTCAGCTACTTCATTAATTTTGGTCCTGAAAAGAAATTCCAAAGTAACATAGATGAGGTTGGAAAGGACCTCTGGAGATCATCTAGTCCAAGCAGGGACAGGTAGAGCAGGTTTTTTTAGGGCTTTGTCCAGTCAGGTTTGCAATATCTTCAAGGATGGAGAGTCTTCAACCTGTCCTGTTCAGATAGTTTTTCCTGCATCTCATTTTGTGCCTTTTGCCTTCTGTCCTGTCACTGGACTCAGCTGAGAGAAGCCTGGCTGTGTCTTTGCTACTCTCCCTTGTCCCCTGCATCAGGAATTGATAAATTCTGGTAAGATAACACACACACACACGCCTTTTCTTCTCCAGGTCGGAGTCCCAACTCTCTTGGCCTTCCTTCATGTCAAAGGTGCTTCAGTTCTCTCATTGTCATTATGGAAGTAAATAAAGTGTTTCAACTAATATGGGAATTGGAACTCAAAGAAGGAAATGCTTTTTCTGGGGGGAGGTGCTGGAAACAAAACACAACCTAGTAACTGTGAAAAGAACATGACGATTACAAAATGGAACACTAAGAAGTTGGGTAACTCCTGCTTTGAGATTCTGCAATCTTCATTTGCCCCCTTGTGTTAGCATGCTATGAAGCAATCTGCATGATCATACAGAATATTTAATCTAATGATAGGACTAGCCTGGTGTGGTACTGAGCTAGGGAAGATGTTTGTGGGCTGAGCATACAAGAAGCCTGATGCTGCTATAGGTAGAAAATTTCTGTAGGCAACAGAACAAAAGACTGCAAGTAGAGGAAACCATGTCCTTGTGGTTATGTCAAATGAGAATTCCTGAGAAGTGAATGTGATGTTTTTCTGCTTTTATCCTTATATGTTGCTAAACAGCTTACCAGGCTGTTGTTTTCATAGTACTTGTATTCCTCCTTTCAGAGGTGTCTGACTTAAGAGCCTAACAGGAAACACTGGCTGTTCACATTTGCAGCTGAGCTTCTTAGGAGATGTTGTTTGAATTAAAATATCATGTGATATGATGTCTGTTGAGTCTCTTCTTGAACAAGTTACCTCACATTCTTGCATGCTACTATAGTTTCAACATCTCCATGTCACACTTAAAATAGGGTACTTACCTTGAAGGGCTTTTGGTTCTTGATTTTAAAAACACAACACTTTTATTTAGCAGCTGTACTACAGTAATCCTCAAGGAATTTTCTGTGGCCTTTATTCTGATCCGAGAGGAAGAGGTGAGTATTGTGCATCTTTTAAAAACCAGGTTTGTAATCAATTTTCCTTGTTGTCAGCTGAAGATGAGAAACTGAGTTTCCACATTGTTGATTCATGGTCTATTCATCCAGTCCTGTGAACTCCAAAAAGTTGTGATTTGTGTCCAGTCTTGTCAGGGATTCATTTTGCATATATAGCTATTAATATTAAACACTTGTTTGTCCCATTTTTGTAATGTGGTTTCATGAGTAATATCTTTAATATTCTGCAGAATCTTTTACACACTAAAAGTAATGTTCATGTTTGAGCTTCAGCATATTTTACAATAAATTTACCAATAAGGATCTATGTTGCAAAAAGAATGAACTAAAATATGAACACAGTTTTTTTTCTGTACAGTGGGAAACAGTGCATCTTTAGAAATGTTGAGTGACTTACACCTATGTATTTAGGACTTTTGCAGGCCATTGTTCTTCGAATTTCAAAAGCAGTTTTCTTGGTACTGCATATAGCACACTTTATTGAGTGAAAGTTGTTCTGATCTTGATATTTGGATATAGAGACCTGAAAATGTTTCAGCTCTTCTCCTAATCATGGTATCTTGTTAAATATTGGGGGAAGTCTCTCTCAGTCCGTGATGATCAAAATTTGAAATGTTTATAGACTGCTTTTGTGTTCTTCCTCACCATGTCCTGTCATAGAAGTTTCAAGAAATGATAGAAATATATCCAAAGTGGTTAGCTGCTGGTTTACCACAGTTTAAATTGAAGCAGAGCAGCAATTCTTCATTTAAAAGAATTTGAAGGAAAACTTATATCTGTGATATATGTGAATCTCCTTTCTAAGGTGGCAGTTGCAAGTATGTATCAGAAAATATTTAACTGTAAGCAGAAATAAGAAAAAATGGTGGAGAAAAAACAATGGCATAAGTGACGTTCATCTTTCTGTGAGGGAGCTAATATTGGGATATTACCTTAGCAGCCTAAATGAAACAGTTCATTTCTGTTGTAAGTTATTTAATGACTTTGAGGAGCAAAAACTCAGGTTTTTTTTTTTCCCAGATTTGATTTGCTTATAGCTCTGCGTTTGTAAATAAAATTTATCTAATATTGCTTCCATCTCTCAGTGTAAAATTTGAATCCTGTGTTTAAAAGTTCTGAAATTAACAAATTAGTTATATCAGCATTTATCCAGTTCAAATCTCCAATCTGAAGTCTACAGTGCTAAGTAGCTAGAAACTGATTTACATAGCTTCTGTTGAGAGATGGGAATAATATATTCATAATGCTTTCTTCTGCTGTTTATAGCCATAGGAGACAGCCATGGATAGAAAGTTTCACATTTCCCTATGGTTTCTGCAGGGCAAGCATGTGGCTTTATTACCTATAAAACAACTTTCTGTCAGCAGCTTTTACACTTTTAAGTGGTTTTAAAAGTAAAACATTTTAGAATCTCTCATAAAATACTCCAAAAATCTTTAAGTATTATAAAATTTGAAATATACAAGGTATAAATTATAGAATATAAAGTCAAATGTATACATTTTTAATATTTTACTGATCTAAAGGCAAAGGAAAAGCTTCAGGGATTATATTATTGGCCCAGCTAGAACAGTCAACAATAATATATGAACATGGTTCAAGAGTCCTGCGATTCTCAAGCCAGACAAGTTTGGGACTGACAGAGTCTTCCTTTTTCCTTCAATATTAACCTGGCTCTGATACTTCCATGGTGGTTTCACTGAATGACTTTGGGTTCATTTTTTGTAAGCCCAGCCAGCTGAATGTGCTTTCTGTGTGAGCAACAGTGCTGGCACCAAGGAAAAGTTCCCTCTGCTCCCAAGGATGGCAGTCCAGTGTTAAAGTTACTTTCAATTGCTTAAGGCAATGTAAGGAATATTCAGGACCTTATTCTTCCTTTCTTGGTACTCCTGTAGACAGCCTTTGCATATTTGCCCTTTAAATAAGTATCAAAGGGGCTAACAACATCTTGGTCTGCTTCTTCTACAAAAGATTGATATCTACATATGACACTAACACAAAAATATTCACATAGATACTGCTTCTTAGCATATGGCAACAGCTGTGACTCGCCTTTCCTGTCAAGACAATGTGAAAATCTCCCTCTTCCAATAAGCAGTATCTGTTATTTTCAGACATAGCAGTAACTATATAAACTATATTATCCATAATGAAGCTTCAGACAACAAAAGACATTTCCAGTAGTATCAGACAAAGATGGAGAGCTCTGCTGTGTTGGAGGTAAGAAATCTATGAAATTACCTGTGCAACAGCCAGTTTTAGGAAGTGTGCAGGGATGGTAGGTTTTACACATAGGAAAAGGATTTCGCTGCAGATTCAATACCATCATGTAGCCAGACAGCCCCCTGTTGGTTGTATTATTACAGAGGTTCCAGAAGTGAATTGCACTTGAATTCAGCAACTTACTGCACACAGCAAGCTATTTTTTCATTCCCATATTGCAAATGGGGGGGGGGGGGGGGGGGGGAATGTGTGTGCTTGTAAAAATTACACTTGAATCCAATTTCATCCCCATTGTGTATAAGATAAATGTTAAAACTTGGTCAAATAAGAGTGTCTGCACTCTCTTTATGTGTTTATAGAAGCTTATTTTTAAAGAGCTGCAGTGAAAATGTAGAACAGTACCTTGTCCTTGTGATCAAACCCTAAGACTAACATGCTTTAATATCATATTTAGAAGCTGGCTAATGGAAAGTGTTTAGATAAACTTATGTTGAGAATGCAGGTAATAGATTTTGAAACATAAAAGTTTGTAAGCCAGCAGTGAACTAGCCAGAGACAGGCTCCAGCATTAATTAGTGAGTTGGACTCTCTTGCAGGCATAGCTAAGAGCCTCTGCTATTTAACAAGGTACAGTTTTACCAAGAGGCTTGTTTTATTTTGGTTTTATTCAAGTTTGCTTTGCTTTAATCTGTTCTTTTCTATGTGGCTTACATTGCTACCCATGCAGCTAGCTGCTTACTTCCAGTTTGTGTTTTCTCATCTGTTAAGAAACCCAATATGTTATTCTTCAAAAGAATTAAGTGTCTAAAATACTGGAAATTGAATCATAGAATCATAGAATCATAGAATAGTTAGGATTGGAAAGGACCTTAAGATCATCAAGTTCCAATCCCCCTGCGGTAGGGACACCTTACCCTAAACTGTGTCAGCCAAGGCCCTCTCCAACCTGGCCTTGAACACTGCCAGGGATGGAGCACTCACAATTTCCTTGGGCAACCCATTGCAGTGCCTCACCACCCTCACAGTAAAGAACTTTTTCCTTATATCCAATCTAAACTTTCCCTGTGTAAGCTTAAGCCCACTACCCTTTGTCCTGTCACTACAGTCCATGATGAAAAGTCTCTCTGAAGCACCCTTGTAGGCCCCCTTCAGATACTGGAAGGCTGCTATGAGGTCTCCACACAGCCTTCTCTTCTCCAGGCTGAACAGCCCCAACTTTCTCAGCCCATCTTCATACGGGAGGTGCTCCAGCCCACTGATCATCCTCACGGCTTTCCCTGGGACTTGTTCCAACAGTTCCATGTCTTTTTTATGTTGAGGACACCAGAACTGCACACAGTACTCCAGGTGAGGTCTTGCGAGAGCAAAGTAGAGGGGAAGGATCACCTTTGACCTGCTGGACCTGCTTTAACCCACTGAAGGATAGGTATAAATTATTTTGGGTTTTTCAGTGCTTGTAAAGGGAAACTAAAATCTGCCTTGTGGTGGTCACTGCATATCCATGTGGTGATGGAATGCTGTAGGTACTATATAAATGTATACAAGCAGTTATTATCTAAAGTCTGGTGATGTATACATGCTTAAAAGACACTTTTGTGGTGAAATAGGTGGCTTAAGAAAGGTTTCCAGGAAGAACTTTGTCTTAGAGTCTTAAAGGCGCAGGATCTTCTGCTCCAAGATAAACAGAAAGAGGTGATCTCTTTCTGCATTCAGTATGGCCTAAGTTACAAAAGCTCAACTTTATTTGAAGAATTTAATTTGTGGCTGAAGATTCATAGCTCTAACAGTAGTAGAGAAATAGATGTGAGAATTATCTTCTACATCACAGAAGACCAACATCAGGCACCACTCCTATCAAGACAGGCTCAGATAGTTGGGCTTGGTCAGCCTGAAGAAGAGAAGGCTATGGGGAGACCTTATAGCAGCTTCCAGTGTCTAAAGGGGACCTACAAGGGGAGAGGTGCCTGAGGACTGGAGGAAAGTAAATGTCACTCCAGTCTTCAAAAAGGGCAAGAAGGAGGACCCGGGTAACTACAGACCGGTCAGCCTCACCTCCATCCCTGGGAAAGTGATGGAACACCTTATCCTTGGTGCCATCTTAAGGCATATCAAGGATAAGAAGGTTATGAGGGGCAGTCAACATGGCTTCACCAGGGGGAAATCATGTTTGACCAATCTCTTAGCCTTTTATGAGGAAATAACACGGTGGATGGATGATGGCAGAGCGGTGGATGTGGTCTACCTTGACCTCAGCAAAGCATTTGACACAGTCTCCCACAGCATCCTCGTGGCTAAAATGAGGAAGTGTGGACTGGATGATCAGGTAGTGAGGTGGACTGCGAACTGGCTGAAGGAGAGAAGCCAGAGAGTTGTAGTCTATGGGGCTGAGTCTAGTTGGAGGCCTGTAACTAGTGGAGTGCCTCAAGGGTCAGTACTGGGACCGGTATTATTTAATATATTCATCAATGATTTAGATGAGGGAATTGAGTGTACTATCAGCAAGTTTGCTGATGACACTAAGCTGGGAGGAGTGGCTGACACGCCAGAAGGCTGTGCTGCCATCCAGCGAGACCTGGACAGGCTGGAGAGTTGGGCAGGGAATAACTTGATGAAATATAACAAGGGAAAGTGTAGAGTCCTGCATCTGGGCAGGAACAACCCCAGGTTCCAGTATAGGTTGGGGAACGACCTGTTAGAGAGCAGTGTAGGGGAGAGGGACCTGGGGGTCCTAGTGGACAACAGGATGACCATGAGCCAACACTGTGCCCTTGTGGCTAAGAAGGCCAATGGCATCCTGGGGTGTATTAGAAGGGGGGTAGTTAGTAAGTCGAGAGAGGTCCTCCTTCCCCTCTACTCTGCTCTGGTGAGACCGCATCTGGAATATTGTGTCCAGTTCTGGGCCCCTCAGTTCAAGAAGGACAGGGAGCTGCTGGAGAGAGTCCAGCGCAGGGCAACAAAGATGATTAAGGGAGTGGAACATCTCCCTTATGAGGAAAGACTGAGGGAGCTGTGTCTCTATAGTTTGGAGAAGAGGAGACTGAGG